CACGCTGGGCGATGCCCCGCTCCAAGCAGGTATTGCCTAGGTACAGAAAAGTGGGAATGTCGGCGGGTACTCTGAACCCTAAATCCGCCCCGCTTCCTGTTAAGGCAACAGCTGGAGGTCACGGCGAACCACTAACAGTCATTGGGACGGAGGTTGGTATCAGTCGACCCCGGCACGCCCCCAGGAGCCACCGACGAATCCGGAAAGGTGCCCAGACCGTTACGACTCTGACGATTTGCTCGGGCGCTGCGGGAAGAGGCTGCCGCGCCAGCTCAGCAAGTGGTGTACTGTACCTTCAAGTGTGGTGTAGGTACCTAGTGTACCCGTACCTGCTGCGCGCTGCACACATCAGAGAGAGAGAGATCGAGACCGCTTCGACATTTGTCGTCGTCCAACCTGCAACCTGCGCTGCTGCATTGCTGCATGGCCGTCCCCCATTCTTACCCCAATCCCACACCCAATTCCCTCTGTAACCAGTCACATTAGGTACCCCCCTCGCTATCATTCTACCATTCAGTTACTCCCGTTCCTCCCAAGCTGGCTTGCTATCTTCCCTCACCTGGTAGTATATACTAGACTCGATCGTTTCAAGCAGGTTGCGAAGCGATTCGCTTTCTTTTCCATTGCGTTCTGTGCCTCTTGCATCTTCTTTTCTTTTTCCTTCTGCCTTCTGCCTTCTGCCATCATCATCAGCGCCATCGCCATCGCCATCGCCATCACCATCACCATCACCGCCTCCAGTCCAGGCCCAGCCCCTCACACCGACGGCAACGGGCGCAGACTCGCCCTTACCGAAGCCCTTACCGTAGCATAGCGCAGCGTCTATTGCCTTATCGCCGCCACATTCCACCATTCAGCCCGTTGGGCCATTAGGTTGTGTGACCCACGAAACCATATCCAAGACAACCTCGATCGTCTTTCGTCCCGTCTAAACAACATCCCCGTATCTTCGAAATACCTGTTGAGCAGTTTGATTCTACCGGTGTTATCTTCTTTCGCTACAGCATCGGGGTTTTCGTCCTCGACAGGACCGCGGCCGAATGACTGTGGCAAACCGGTGACGGCAGCGTCCCAGCTTTGGAACTCGCTCATTTCACGAGCAGCACACGACCCCCACCGGCCCAACATGACGAGTCCTCTAGATGGCATCGTCATCGGGCTACTCTCGTCCTTTGGCTCTGCCGTCATCGTGGCCGTCATCTTTCTCGTCATCTACTTCTTCCGCCACACCGCATCCGGTCGCATCTTCCTGGATCGCATCGGCCGGCCCGGCGAATATGACGATGAGCAGGCGTTTGCAAGAGAAGAGGCCGAGGCCCTGGAGACGATGGATGATATGCAGAGAACCGAATACCTCAGAGCAAAAGGTAGCCCTTCTTTCCTATATGGCTAGGCACACGAGACGATTGCTTCAATGCCATGTTGTGTTCCCAGCTAACTAGCTCTCAGCCTTTATACAAGGAAACCCACCCGAGTCGATCCAGACGGACATTTCATTATCACAATATTTAGCTATTCAAGAAAAGGGCGTATCAGCATGGGAGTTTGAGCCGGAATTGGAGATCGCCAACTGTTTCGTTGAAGGCAGGACCGAGATCGAATTCTTCGACTCCGAGTGTACAGTCATGAGCAATCTACCTGTACCAAAACAAAATGAGGTTTATTACTGGGAGGCAAAGATATTTGAAAAGCCCGAAACCACATTATTAAGCATCGGAATGTCTACGAAACCCTACCCGTTATTCAGGCTTCCAGGTACGTGTGTCCGTGTATTCTGTAGCCCTGTTCGCAGTTTAACATTGTCTTCAGGGTACCACAAATATTCTGCTGCCTACACATCTACAGGCGCACGGAGATATAATCAACCCTTCATGCCATCGCCATACGGGCCTCCCATCGTTCAAGGTGATGTTATCGGCGTGGGTTACCGCCCTCGAACTGGTACTATTTTCTTCACACGCAATGGCAGACGGTTAGATGACGTCGTCCACGGCTTGAAATCGCAAAACTTCTTTCCCTCGGTTGGCGCCAACGGTCCCTGCATCGTCCATGTCAACTTTGGACAGGCTGGCTTTGTCTTTATCGAGGCCAACGTGAAGAAATGGGGACTTGCGCCCATGACTGGCAGTTTGGCACCGCCACCACCTTATGGAAGCGAACAGGGTAGTATCCTACTGGAATCCGGCCGTAGGAAGGACGAGACTCCGGGATCACCATCGCAAACACATTCCTATTCACAATCATTTCAAACGTATACCAACCGAGGTCCGATACTAGATTCCGGTCATGCGCGAACGCGCAGCGGCAATTACCGAGTGCTTCCACCTACCAGCCCGGGACCGCAGAGAAGTCCTACGGATATTTCTCTAGCACAGTTAATTCCCTCGGATGAGGCAGGCGAAGGAAGTGCTAGCCTCCATGGCTATGCACCTTCTGGAGATCATGTGGTCAACATTGCTGGGCTAAGCATACACGAAGCTTCACATCCGCCCCCCGAATATACCAGTCCCGAACATTCTGATGAGGATGGCAGCGGTTCCGAGAGCGATATTGCGCCGCTCATCAGAACTCCAATGCGGAGCCGTGGGGCTTCTGCTGCCGCACTCCGCCCGCATAACCCCCCAATTCCCAGTTACAGTGATGCTGTGCGCCAAGGCGCTGGTAGGGATAGAAGCCGAAGCGATACGAGTGCCATGCAGAGGCGGGGTGGTTATTGAGGTTGACCGGCCGGCTTTTCCATGAACAACTTGGACTGGAGTTGGTAGGCGCAAAAGGATGTGGCATAATCAAGGTTGTGAGAGGGATAAGCGCCCCTCAACCAGGGAATCCGCACAATGTGAATTGTCAGGGTGGGAAATCACTGCCAGTCTGTTGTTAGAAATACCCGGCTAGCGAGATACATTGTAGCCATCAACATGAGAGGCGGCGTTTCGGATGTTCTTTTTGTTGAGATGATTATTCTTAACTGTTTATAACTAGCCACGGCTGTACTCCTGGTGGTAACAGCTTTACGACGTTACTATACAACATAGATATATTGCATTGGAAGCCCCGGCTTACTGGTTGGGGCAATGGGTAGGTAGTTTATCCTGTACTGTAGGCACACGCCTTGTCGTACCTCGATCAAATGCGAAAGAAAATATTCACCTCGCAATTATCTTATAGACGATGTTTGCCCGTCTATGGCTTGCTGCGTGAGAGCTTGGGTTCCGTTTCGAGTGTCGGAAAGTAGACGGCTAAGGCGTAGTCGTTTGGTTACTCTTCTCGAAACCAGAGCCCCTTGTTTGTGATACAAGCTGTTCGTAGAGGTGTAAATAGCCCCTAGAGCCCTAGCGACAACATCCCACGTTCAGCTGGGATTTGGTACCTAGCTCACTACAACTAGCCCATACACGCACGTCATTGCGTCCAGTAGGTATGGTGAAGAGCATTTTTGACTGGAGGATTTGGTTGGAGACAATCAACGCGTCAGAAGTTTCGGGGCATATAGGTGATTCATAGGTTGGCGAGAAGATATGCTTCGTTTGCAGTCGATGCTCGGGATGTGGACTAAGGACAGGCAGCTGCATTAATCGGTTGTCTTGTCCTACTCTTGTTGGCCTTGGGTAATGTGATATCCGGTAGCAAGCAGATAGCAGGTTAGGTTGTCGTTTCTATCGTCGTTGTTGTTGTTGCGTTAAGACGGGAGTGCTAAAACATCCTAGTTAGCTAGCTTTGTCTGTTCATACGCACTAGCCTCATTCCACGGGTGCAGAATTGTAAACTTATGTGTTATAGGTACGGCTGAGAGAGGGGAAGAATTATTGTGTTCTAGCTTGTATTCAACCTTGTTTTCTCGAAATTCGTAAGGTAGTGTTGAAGCCCTATAAAGCTTAACTCCATACAACGATAGGCGATTTTGTATCTTCACGGTAATATAACTAACAATGAGTTAACTTTTCTTGAGATACTAGTCCGGCATTGTTATAGGAATAGCAGGATTATATTTGTTCTAGGGATACTGTTATTGGTAGGCTGTAATAGGTTCCACATGGTGTAAAAGATATATCACATGTTAAAGCAGAAACGTCTGCTGTCGAAGTATGCGGCTATTCACTACTAACGTAGGAACCGCCCTGGCCGTCAACGGCTAGCGGTTTATAAGAGTCACAGTTCCTCTGTAGCCTGATTTCTCTCTTCTTAACTACAAAACTTATTCTCTTGCCCTGTTAACTATATGCTTGTTGATTTGCCTGGCGAGCCCTGGCTAGTCGTCTACTGTTTATCGCCATACCTCAGCTGTAAGTGGTTTATCTAATGGGTACTGGCATGTCCAACTGATCTTTGGGTCGGGTAAAACACCTATCATTTATTAGACACGGCCCCCTATATATCCAGCTCGACGTAACTCAATATTTCCCGGAGATTACGGGTCGATGGTTGTCGTGATTCCGGACGTCTCAAGATAACAATTTTTGGGCCAAATGCTAGATAAAACCAAACTGGCCTTGCTTAATTAAATAAGGATTCTCTCCCTATATAGTAGAATAGAAATGCTTGTTTAAGCATTAGGTATGGCGTCGACTTTAAGCTTCTTATAGGCTATTACATACCTAAGTAGCATTGACGTTTAATTAACAGCACCTAATACCTGGGTGTCAACAGATCGTTTAATTAGTCGCATGTTACCTTAAACTTACCTATGTATCAGTTTATTCTCAAGCAAGAATGCCAAATACAAAGCATACATTCTGCACGTGTCTAAGTACAATATCAATACTAGGTACCTACATGTAGTCCATTCTTACGTCTACCAAGCTGAGCCAAGCTGAGCCAAGCCTTTTCGCTTAGCTCCGATTCCGGAAATTCCAATCAACAAACATCATAGTACCCACTAAGAACGGCGGTGACAAGTCTCGATTTGGCGCAATGGTAGCGTACAGACCTCCTAAGTCTGGGGTTGCGGGTTCGAGTCCCGTGATCGAGGGCATACGATCGGCTACATGTTGCTGCGTGCTTTTGGGCGAATGGTCTAGGGGTATGATATTCGCTTTGCATATTCTCTAGTAATCAGAGTAATCGGCTTGCGAAGGGTCCGGGGTTCAAATCCCCGTTCGTCCATACTTTTTACAGAAGTTGAATAACCTTTTAGGTCAGCATTAGAGAGCATGCTGTAGTGTACGCTGTGTGCGGCTTATAAGATTCTGTGAACATTAACTATATATATTATGTATAAATTAATCACACATAGGCTAGGAGACACAAGCGTTATATCTTTAAATTGTTCGTTGCTTGCTGTTTCTCGTGGTGCTAAAAGGTATCTCTTATATCTTCGCAGAAGTGTCTTGATAAAGTTGTCCATGATCTCTGCTGTCCGTCCAACATCACTAAAATGATAAATATTTTAAGTCTAATACTAAGATATGAGAGGAGTGCAACCGCCCTTCGTTTGCCGAGACCGTCCAATCTAAATTTCCTAATTTCGTAGAGCCGCTGCAGAATCCAGATAATAAGATTGCAGGAATGGTATTTCGTGTTCAAACATCCTGTTGTTCTAACTCCCGTTGATTTCCAAAATGGTTACAAAAGAATTTAAAAATAAAAAAATGGGGGCATCAGGATCATGTCGTACGCTGGGAATCATAAAATATGACATGCTATGCCGTCTAACATCGCATAACGCTGGGAACGAAATCGATTATCGTAAGGTCGTGCATAGGGGGCCATGGGGTTAAGTCGTAATTAATACAGTCGAACGTCCTGATAAAATGATGAAGATTCCAAACAGAATTCGCAAAGGATCGAGTTTCGCGGTGATAAATCATAAAAATCCGCCTTCGTTCCCGAATACACCGATGCTGCCACGCCATCGACAGCGCTCATCCGGAGTCTGGGTTCCACGAGGTGTATGTGTGTCGTAATCGCCACTGCCACGGTTGCTACCGGCACTGGCGTTCGGCTGCACAAGAAGCAAATTACTCGTACCGCTCAATCGTTTCGCAAATTCATTGAAACTAAGGTTCTTCGCATCAGAAGTCGAATGTCGTTTCTCGTGAGTTCGCCGCATCGGGACTCCTTCCGCCGGCCTTGAAGATGGGAGCGTGGGCAGCAACGGTACAGGAATGTAGGGTTGGCTATTCGTCCGCTGGGCTACCGGCCGGCTTCGTGAGTGTGCCGTGTGCGGCCGTAGTATACTGTTCAGCCCAGCTTGACCATGGGTCGAATTTTGGTGGTTCGAAATGAAGCGAAGAGCTTTCAACGAGGCATCCATCCCGTCGTGGTGGTCGTGATGTTCAAAGGCATAGTTGTCACTGTCCTCATCCTCGTCATCTTCGACTTCCCTGCCAACCTCGTCCTCGTCGCTCTCGCCATTTTCCCATGTGCTCTTCAAAGGTTCTCGCGATACCTCCTTTTTCCCACTGGTCCTTTGGCGTTTTTCTGCTTCACACATCAAGGCTTCGAACCTTGCAATCGACGTGAGCTTCTCCTCTCCAGCAATCTCCTTATCAGATCCTGGGATACACCGCATTTGGAATGCCCGATCTAAAATGGTCTCACGGGGCGCTATACGGGGGCTGGATTCTAGGCTAGGCTGACTGGGGTCGTGAGAAGAGCTGATGCTAGCGCGGGCCCTAATAGGAGAGCTCAAGGCAGAGAACTGCTCTGAATGCTCGTCTACGGTAGAAGTGGGAGAAGGTAGATTGGAGTGCTGAAGGTTGGTGTAATGTTGCTGCACAAAATTCATACTCGCCGGTGCCTTACAGCTCGCGTGAGAAGAAAGGTCACTGTTGCGAGAGCGCAGGCTAGGGGACCCAGAAGTATATACTGAGCTTTGGTCGCGTGCCGATGGGAGGGTTCTGCCTGATGACTTCGGTTGCAACTTGGACCTCAACTTTCCTTTCGCACTGGAAACCGGTCCAGGTTTCTCGACAGTATCTTGCTTCGGGGCAAATGGGCTGATGAAGACTGGCGATGTTGGACTGATTGGGCTCAGAGGAATGGACTGTTGGCGCTGTACTAGCGATTGGATGTACCTTGCCCAGTCGTCTAAGCCATACCGCGACTCCTCAGTAGCGAGAAACCATAGCTTTATTGGGCCACACTCTTTGTTCGTGATTAACCCAGTGGTCCGGCTCGATCGGCGCTTTCGTAACTTGTCGGTTGCTGGATCGGGGGAGATTTGCATGGTTAGAGTAGGAAGATGGCCTTGCTTCCGATGGGCAATGTGTTGCACCTGACAATCTGTTATCGACGCAATCGAATACTGAATGATGGGCTCGGAATCATCCTGTCATCATGTTAGCAACGCCAGGTTGACATCAGATGAATATTGCGCACCTTGGACTTGTATACAGAAAGGTAGAGGGCATCTGTGGGAGCCTTCAGCTGCGACTTCGAAGACCGACCTCCTACGTCTCGTATCCGAGCAGTAGACAAAACCTGGGAAAGCGAGAGGTTCGGCGGCTGATCTTCTTTTTGGTTCTGTGGGCCAACAACAACATAACGTGGCTAGAGAGACAATTAGCATTCCGATGAAGCGAGGTGAGTGCGCAATCGGTGACAGTGGCTACCTTCCAGACAGGCTTTCCAATAATCGGACCCCGATCCGGGGGTACAAGAAGAACACCCTCCATGAGGATTGCAACTACTTCTTAGTGTGGTAGTTACTCGTTATTGCTACGCCGTGAGTAGCGCAAAGCGATCTTATCTGGCGCTCGGTGTGCGATGATCTGCAAGCAGAGAGGCTGGACTCTTATTTGCTGTCAAAACGTCATATTGTCTGAGAAGAGTGGGAAGCAACGCCAGGCAGGTGACCGGCTTTTGTTGAAGAACAAAAGAATTGGGGGACACAATGAAAGGGATGGGTTTAAGGGAAATGGTAGGCAGCTGGTCTTCTAAGAGGCTGGCGTCACCTAGAACTGAGAACTCAATTCGTCCCCGACGATATAGCGTGAAGTAGAAAGAAAGAATCGTCAACCACCTGCTACTAAGAAAGTGGTATGAAGAAGGAAAAAGGTGAGATGATATTGTATTGTAGGAGTTCTACGTTTGCGCCGACCGCAAGTCACTTGTTGGCGATCCGTTTATCCTTGCACTCCCATTATTTAATTAAATATACTCAGTACTGTTATTGTTCATCTACCTACTGTAAAGGGCGCAACGGGGAACAGAGACCAAAGGGTCGATGTAACTCCTGAAATCGCCGTCTGGTCGTGATGAAATGTGGGAACGATGCCACGGAATAATTGTACCTGGCTTCGTAGCTAGACCTAAAATAGAATAAGTTGAAGGGGTTCTAAAAGCAGCTTGACTATACTCGGATATAGACGAGGATTGCTCTAAACTCAAAGTAGAGCATTTCCGATGACTTGTCTGATAGCTTGCTTATGTGTACAGTACAGTGTATTAACAAGGCAACCTTGGGGTCCAGCAACTGGAGCCTCTGGGAACCTCGAGCCAGGTTCAGGGGTATTCGGGGGCCTACACTAACATATTACACTACAGTACACTACAGTACGCTGCAGCAACCAACCAAACAGTGCACCTATTTGGCTAACCCTCCTCGGTGATGTGCTTGCAACGTACCTATTAACGGGCAAACCGGGAAATGCTGAAGTGTCGCCTTGGCCCCAACAAATCTTTCAAGCATTGATGCTTGTTCTAGCTCCCAAGACTCTTAGGGCGATACTTGTCATCCAGGAGCGGGGGAAAATAGCCGAAAACGAACACCTCGATTAACAGCTGAGAACTACTAGGAAACATCTAGACTGTCTACGCAGTCGTATGTATAACAGTTACGTATGTAGGTAATAAGTGGTAGATTGCACTAGAGCCCGATATACTAAAGTAGATAGTAAACTGGTCTATAAACATTAGGCCCAATAGCTTCTCCCGAAGCGAATATGCTACTGGCAGTAGTGTCGCGCCATGCTATAGAAGCGGGTGATCGTGAGATGAGGATGCGTGTGCGTGCTGACATGTTAGGCAGTGGGGGAAAAAGATATAAGCAGCAAACAGCAGAGTAGGTCGCAGGTAACGCGGCCATTCCTTCGAAGTTGATATTGAATGTCACCCCAAGCGCCTTCTATTCAAAAGCAATGGAGATGGGAATGTGATGATCATGTTTTGAATCTACGCCCTCATCTCGGCAGCACTTGTGCTCAGGCCTCAATCTTCATAAGTACTATATCTTAAGCTAGGCTAGCCTGGCGCAAAGGAAAACGCGATGGATGATACGCGCACGCCGTTTTCGCTAGTCGTTACCGACGTTGTAAACCATATTGTTGTCATAGTGCAGTCTATCTTGGACCTTCGCAGTCGCCGTGTCCATCTGTAAGCCCGCGTGGTGTGCGGTATATACAGTACTAAGTATAGGTGTTACTACCCTGTGTTCTAGAAGAAGTCCCAAGATCTAGAATCCCTGGCACTAAGGTTTGACCGCCACGACTGCAGTAGAACCTTAATTATCAATGACAGCTCCAATCCAGGGAAACCTGCTTCTGAAACATAGCCATATGCTCTACACTAATCTACTGTACTGGACTGTACGGGGTCTCACCCTGGCTCACCAGCAAAGGAAAAGGGAAAGGGGGAAGACACGCGCAGATCATAGCCGGGATCAAGGTTCCCGCATCCACACGGTGGCGGAGGGGCCGCCTAGCCAATCTCTGCGCAGCCAGCCAATGTCACAGACTGATACACTATTCTAGATCTACTTAGTACAGTACTATGTAGGTACGTTATTGATCTCGCGTGGATAACTCGTGGCACCACTTGGGGCTGATTATCTTGATCGGGAAAAAAGCAAGTAGGAGAGTGTTTCTGACTAACAACTTATACATAAGTAACGGGATATTGTGCACTTGATCACTTACCTACCTATAACAGAGGCCTGTGGATAGTGGGTAGGTAGAACATGCACAAGTAGCCTGGGTCTAAATCATCACAACTTCTGGGGTATACAGAGTGGCTGACGCCACTGCGATTACTTAGTGTCGCATGAGGATGGTGGTCGGTCAGAAGGAGACTAGACAGGCAAATGTACTACCTACGTATAGGTAGTTAGATTTGGTAGTTTGCGAACAAGTGCCCTTCACCGATTCTTCCCATTTGAGCGCTCT